TCCCTCCTTGCTTCCCTTCTCTTTCTTTCCCTTCTTCTTTCCTTCTCTTCTTTCCCTCTTTCCTTCTCTCTTTTTATCCCCTCTTTCCTTCCTTCTTTCCTTCTCTTTCTTTCCCTCTTTCCTTCTCTCTACTCTCTCTCTTTCCTTCCCTCTTTCCTCCTCTGTGCCCCCCCCGGCAAGCCAGCTGGGGAAGGGAAGGGGACGCTTTTGAAGATGCCTCCCCCCCTTTTTGCTTCTCCTTCTGACATCACTTCCGGTGATGTCAGGGGGCATGGCATATGCTAATGAGTTACTATGCTAATAGCCTAGTAGCTCATTAGCATACCTTATGCAAATGAGCTCCTGCAGCTCTTTTTATAAACAATGCCCCCCGCAAATGTGCATGCTGATTCAATTTATCAGCACACTTATGCCACCATCCATAGCACACCTGAGATTTTCTGTCAGTCTTCTGTTTAGCATTCACCATTCAGCTATCAAAGTGTCTATGAGCATAGCTTTGAATAATTATCCAGGATGGAATAAAAATAGTTTAGGCCAGCATGATCCAATGTAAATCCATTCAACAGAACTTCCCCCAATTATTGATAGCAGATATGGTCAGAAAATGGGTAGGCAAGGAATGATGACTGAAAACCCCTCAAAAGAAGACTGTTTCAGTTCCTTCTACATGCAGGAGTTCCAATATATGCATTTACTTAAACAGAGGGGCAGTTCAGCATATGCAAAGAGGCATGCCACTGGAACACTTGAAGAGAGCTGCAATCAGGGCATCCCTACACCCCACTATTGGGGAAGGGGAGACATTTACATTTATTCCATTTATTTAACATGTCATGCTTAATTTTTAACAAACTCTGTCGAAACAGATATAAAAAAGTATAATCCTATTAATTATGAATGTTGAAGACAATTCTAAAATCACCAATAAACAGAAATGCTACTAAAACTCATACAACCTATGCTCAGAATACAAGCTAACCAGGCTTGTAATGCTAACCAGGCTTGTAATGTCTGCAATCTGAACATTCCACATCTTTAATTCTTCTGTGGGTTACACTGAATGTCTGAGCCAAAGAAGAACTCTTCCTTCACTTACCATCCAGCCCAGCTTAGCTGTTCTGACTAGCCAACAGACAAGAAGAGTCTCCATTAGTTATTTCTCTTGCTCTGCTACCAATGCTTTTCATGCTATTTTGGCAGCTTCCTAGGTGCCTGGCATGCCCTGAGTAATATAGGCTTAAGGATACTTGAAAAGGATGTTAGGCATTCTGGGAACTACATTACCCAGGGTGTGTTGGACATCCTAGGTGCAGCTAAAACAATGTTTGAAACACCAGAGGTGAAAAGAGAGACAGAGAGAAAGGAAAGGTGGGACATTACCCCTTTGGTCTGTCAGCCTGCCACCGTGTGATAGGGGTATGCATTTGGATCTACCTACGCTGAAAATCTACCTGAAATATCTTACCAGTATTATTTGGGTAGATTTCAGCATCCCAAATGTATCCAGGTTTTCTCAGGAAAAAAAAAAAAAATCCCCCCCAATCCTGGATATATCCAGGAGTTACCAGGTAGATCCGAAAACGGTGGAGATTGCCTCCCAGCTGCTTATCAGGCTTCTACTGCAGTCCGTTTAAAGTAGAAATAGACTGCAGAAGACAGCCTGAGGATCAGCTGAGCCAGTGGGGAGCAGACTGTTCCTGCTGGCTTGGGGCTGGCTTCTCCTGCAGCCTGGTTTAAACTGGGCTACAGCAGAAGCCAAACCACCCCCAGGTTTGGGCTGGCTTTAAAAAAAAAAAACACAGGTATTTTTCTTCTCAGGTCTATTGGAACACACACACACACACCAAAATCAGGATTTATGAAAAATCCCAGGTCCCAATACTGTTTGGGTCTATTGAACCCAAACATTTTCAAGATTTCTGAAAAATCCCAGGGACCTCAACATTTGGATGATCACAGGATGTGGGGAGGAATTCAAGTTTCACAAAACAAAACTGGCACTGCAATCCTAAGGAGAGTTACTCCAGTCTAAACCCATTCATTCAGTGGGCTTAGGATGGAGTAACTCTGCATAGGAATGTAATGTGAAAAATCCTCCACCCTAATATCGTTTTTGGAGCTCCCGGCCTCCCGGCAAAGCCGCTGGAGTTCTGGAGACTGTTTAGCCGGCCTGGAGAAAGCTGGGGCAGCAACAGAGCCATGACGCGCTGCATCATGATGTGGGCGGGGGGCGAAGCTGGCTGCTGGAAAAGGCCGGGCTCCGCTCCCACCATATGTCAGTTGCTCTGCGTGCTCAACCCATTCGGAGCTTTGAGCGCGCAGAGGGGAGAGCTTCGCCCACCTCGTAGGCCTGAAGCCGAAGACTCGACGCAGAGACTTCCTGGTAGTGTTATTCATGGCGGTTGAGGCGGCTTTATTAGCAGCAGCCTCCCGGCAGCACCAACTGCATCTGTTAACAGAAGGCTTCCTTGCCCATAGCAGCAGCGTGCAGCAGCGGCTGCATTCCAGTGGCGGGCCCGGGGGTGGGAAGTCCCGGGGGAGGTTCTGTTAGCTGCGTGGCCTGTGCTTGGGCCTGGGGTTTGAATCAGCCCAGGGGCAAGGGCAATAGCGGTCCCAATCCTTGGGGTGGGGATTTGAATTGCAACTGACTTAGTGCAGCCTCCTCAAGGTTCCTTAGTGGCTCTTTGGTCTAAGGGGAAGGGGACTGAGAAGAGGCGGCAAATTTGATTTTGGTGGCCATTTTAGAATAACTGTTACTGGGGGTAGCAAACTGAGTGTGTCATAATAGGGTGGCCATTTTGAACAGGTCTTAACAAAGTGGCCATTTTGAGTGGCTGCATGGGGGGTAGCCATTTTGGTTAGGTCAGGTAGAGGTGGCCATCTTAGGTGAGGTCTTCCAGAGGTAGCCATTTTGAAGAGGTCCTTTGTGGGCAGCCATCTTAGGAAGGGCCCTTTTGTTACCCTCCAAAGGTGGCCATTTTGAGGAGGTCTTTATAGGGCAGCCATTTTAATACATTTACAGGGCGGCCATTTTGATTGTCTACTAAAGCACTGGCCTTAACTTAACATCAACTCCTTGCCATTTTAGGTCACCCTAATATAGTTTTTTGCCTGCATTCAAATGTAGGAAATTCATCAGGTTTGGCCCATATGTGCATGTTAGGTAAAATTAAATCCCAACCACTTCAACTGAAACATTTGAAACAGAATCAGAATAAGTACTGTTACAATTTCAAATACATCCAATTCAGAAAGGCCTTGCTTGTTAAAACATGGGGGGGGGATAATGTTGTTGTCATTGTTACCTTGCAAATCATTTCCAGGATATCCCTTGTTGTGTCTCCTGGGTGGATTACAGTCAAAGCTGACTGGTTATTTGGTAGGCAATACCAGGATGGTGTAAAGTACTCATGCACCCAGATATCTGTGTCAGGATTATGCGGATGAACAGCAGTCAGTGTCACTTCTTTCTCTCTCTGAATACAAAGATACAATTATTAAAACACTTTTGGTCATATATCGCCCATCCATTTCTCAGTCAATTACAAAAATAAAGACATTGCCATTGTTTCCCATGCAATTAAACAAGTTTATCTTATGAGTGGGCCAACTGATTGTCTTACGAATGAATTCAGCACCATGAGGTCAGGTGGACTTCCTGTGGCCTGGCCTCCACCCCCCCCCCCACTTCTGTTCACTGGGATAAGATGGCAGATCTATGGTTGCTGCACACTCATTGTGCAATAAGAAAAACCTGATGGCAAGGCAGAGCGTCATCATTGGACTGTCCATGGAACTTAAAAATAGGGACAATATGTGCTAAAAGAAGACCATCATCAGCCATAAACCAAAGATGACAACACTATTCTCAATTTAAAGATCTTCTACCAGTGAAAGAAAGAGATGAAGATGACAGAGTCTCCATGGATTGGCTGAGTTATGACTGGTAATACCAGCCAGTAAATCTCAATATTCATTTCAAATATCCTTTGTTTTTGTGGATTTAAGTTGGACCCTGAGGCATAACATTTCTAGCAAGTGACAGATATATGAAATTCCCATTACATGTGAATGCAATCACACAGTTAAATCCCTACTTACTCAGTTAGAAATAAGGCCCCTAGAACTGACTTCAGGGTGTTTCATATTAAAGTTTTCTTTAGGGAATTAGAGACATTAGCAGGATATAATCATAACTGGCAAAATAGAAGCTACATTGAAATGTACATGTTGATCAAATGCTTTCATGTTCTAATCACCTCAAACTAGTAGTGGTTTGTCTGAGATACTTTCCCACATATAATTAAAATACTAATTTTCTCCTTACTGTTTGCAATTACATATCCTATTTCCATGTTACTGTGGTAATTGGTAAAGTCTGACACTGCTATACAAGAAATGTTAATGGAAGGCTGAGAACAAAATAACAACAAAATACCTTCCCATTGCAAAAAATATAGCGTTACTTTTGAAATAAATGTCAGGCTAATTTGGGTAGAAGAAATAAAGCTCAGGGATGGAGGAAATTGTGCTTGCTGAAAGGTTTCAGACTCACAATGAAGTTCAAGAGGGCCCTTGACATGAAATAAATGTTCAGAGCAAGACAGATCACAAACTGACAGCAGCAGTAGTCCAGTTTTTAAGCAGAATGGTGTGGAAACATGTACACCTGAAGCTGCCACATATGGAGTTAGGCCACTGGTCTACCTTGATCAGTATTGTCTGCTCTGTCTGGCTACAACTCTCCAGGGACTCAGATTGAGGTCTTTCACATTACCTACCTCATCCTTTTTAGCTGGAGATGCTGTGGATTAAATCTGGGACCTTCTGAATGCTAAGGAGAGGCTCTACCACTGAGCCATGGCCCTCACAAATGTGGAAAGGGAAGGCTACATGTATCTACAAAACAGACTCTGTTCCCAGTTCTCCACATGTGTGGGGCAATGAGGTTACATGCATGGCAATTAAAAGATGGGAAGGAAGGATTTGGGTTATAAGAGAGTGCTGATACCTTCTAACTAAGAGGGCTTTGTTTCCAAGGGCTGCTGCTGTTCTCCAGTTTTGTATTTAGTAAATACACAGTCTGGAACAACCATTTCCCTCCCTCACGTCCTCCCTCTTCAATCCTTGCAGACAGAAGAGGAAGAAAGGAACAATTTTGTCCTCTTCCCCCCTCCCTGCAGCAGCCTCTCAACCTGTATGACTGCTAGTTCTACTAAGTTTACTCCCAGGGTCTTGGGAGCCATTTGACTATTAGTCTCTGTGACTATTACAACCCTGGGAATAATTCTTCCTGGGATCAGAAAGGACTGCAGGGGGAGGGGAATGTGAGCAAGATTTACAATCCTTGCATCCTTAGACCATGGGATCCAACCCCTTCTTTTCTTGACTCTGCTAAAATTCAGATACTAAGCATTAATATTTCTAACTGTTATTAGGACTGAACCTGGGAAGTTACTTAAAACCAGTATAATGGAAAGTTAGCAAACAACAAAGAAGTCCAAAAGGATGCCCGGATGAACAAACAGCTTAGTCAAGGATGATTTTAAAAGGCTCATAAAAAATGCCCTGTTTGAAAGATTTCCAGGGGCACATATCTGTCTATGGTTGAAGCCACAGTGCTGAACTAGATAGAAAATTGGTCTAATCCAGCAAGACAATGCCAGTGTTTTAGGTATGTCTTAGGTATTCTTATGAGGAATTACAACCTCATATTTGTAGCAGCTAAAGGGAAGTGCTGGGTGTAGAATTCATGACTGCTGTAGCAGTTTCACAGATTTTCCCTAAGGTGAAATTATGGTTCTAATAGTCTTCATGAATAAAGGTTTTGCCTTGTGAAAAACAGCGAGAGTGTTGGTATAAATCTTAATGGAGCCAGGATCAGGCCCACTAACCGTGAAACACTGGTCTTATTCATTTAATTGGCAATGAATAGTTGAGTGCTTGCATGTCTGCAATACAGGGAAGGAAGACAGCATGGTATATTCCAATCTTGTCAGATCTCAGAAGCTAAACAGGGCTGGTATTGAATGGGAGACCACCAAGGAAGACTCTGCAGAGGAAGGCTGTGATGAAATGGGGACCCACCCTCAGACACCGTTCGCTGGCATGCAAGCCCTTGTTTTCGCCTGCCCACCCTGCCTGGTGGGCCATTTCCCTTTGTTATTTGCTGCCACCACTCACTGGATTCACACCGCCTTCCTAGAGGGACAGTGAGACCCTTCTGGCTGATTCCCCAACCCAGGAAAGTGGGTACCCCAATCTTTGGGCACCCCCTGGAGAGTTGGCAAATTTTCCTATTTGAGCCCATTTGGGTTCCCTGGCTTCCCTTTTCCTCTGGTAACGTGCTGAGTGGGGAGGACTAAGTGGTCAAGGCACTTCCAGGTCTTGTAACTCAAAAAGGTTTATTTGAACTACATACAAGTTAGGCACACAAATTAACACAACCGGGCACAGAAAACAAACAGGAGTAAACCGCGATTCCTCTGTCCCTACACACACCTTCTCTACCTCTGGAGGTGGTGGCCTCAGGATGGGAGTTGCTTTCCCCCTCCTTGTTGTTGTGGAGAGAAACTCCAGCCCTCTTCAGGACTGGTCACCGGTACTGCTACTCTCCTTGGCTCTCCACCACGGTTTATAGTGGTCTGGATTGTCCATGGAGTGTGGAGTAGCAGGAGTCCCACCTGTATGCTCCCTTGAAGATGCCATCCAAGCTGAGCCAAAGGCCAAGACTAAAAAAACTCCCCTGAGGGGCCAAAGCCTTTATCTGCCTGGCTCTGCCCCTGGGGTGGGTCCATACTTTCCCACACTTTTTCCCTAAAGCTTCTGAGAAATGTAGGCAGGGAGGTATGGCAGTTCCATTGTTCCCTATGGAGCACCTTCTCCCTCCAGAGGACTACCAGACTGGCAGCCATTTCGTTACAAAGGCAATGGCAAACCACCTCTGCTTCTCACTTGTCTTGAAAGCCCCTTGCTGGGACTGCCATAAGTAGGTTGCAACTTGATGGCACTTATGTACTTATATCTGTGGTACTGAGGGAGGTGAGCTATTTAAAGATTCATGTACCTAATGCATGGTTGTGTGTCAAAGAACCTGATACCAGGCACAGTTTTGCTATCATTACTTGTTCTTCTAATTGGGATTTTGTTTCTCTCTGCTTTGCCATAAAGGAATGGACTTCATTCTAAAATCAGCTAATTGGAATCTTTTGTGTAAATCAACAACTTCACTTTTTTACCTTGTTTTCTGGTATAGTATCATCAAATATTCCTTCTAAAGATTTCTTCACAGAATCAGCTCCTTCACCAAACACCTGCAGAAGGCAAAAAGCAGTATTTTACAATACAGCAGGATGATGCAAATGTATTCTAAATTTGGAAATAACTTGTGTTGATGGGACAAGTGGTGCAGTGTTTAGAGAGAAATTACAGTATCAACGAAAATTGAATGGAATTATTTCTTGGCTAGGAAAATAGCCAAATGCAACTAGTTATTTAGTCGGTTTAGACAAGATACTCATGCCTGACAAACCAAAACCTACTAAGATGTATATAGAGCAGGGGTGTAAAACATGCGGCCCAGAGGCCGGATCAGGCCCTCAGAAGGCTGCAATCTGACCCACAAGGCTCTGGCTGTTTCCTGCTTCCTTTTCCAGTTCTGCTGCTGCTGCTACATCACAGCTTAATTTACCAGACTCTCTAAGTCGCACAGGAGAGATAGATAGGCAAGCCTTTCCTGTGTGATTGAGAGAGTTTGGTAAAGCACTGGCTGAGGCTCCTCCCCCTCCTCCCAGGGGGAGGGAGGGAACCAGCCAGAGCTCGCTTCCTGGCCAGACTGCCTCAATCGTATACAGGAGACAAAGGGAAACCTTTCCTTCCACTGGCTGAGGCTCCTCCCTGAAGGGAGGCAAGGAGAGAGGGAATGAGGGAGAGCTTGCTTTGCTGGGCTACCTCAAGTACATGGAAGAAATACCAGGCACCTTTAAGACCAACAAAGTTTTGTTAAAGGTATGAGCTTTTATGTGCCTTGCTACAGTATGTGTGTATTCTGTTAGGCTCCTTATGCTGTGTGTATGTTTTGTTGAGCTCCTTATGCCAGGGCTTTCCTGGGTGCAACTGGGTTCCCTCCCCCTTTTCACTGTGTTCATGCCATCATGATCCAGTCTTTCTTAGTAAGAAAGCAATGTGAACTATTTTAGAGAAGGAATAACAACAAACCAGTGAGGTGGATTAGGCTGAGAGTGTTTGTCCAGACCAAGTTCACCCAGCACATTTCCTTTATAGGAAGTTGTAGTTATTTCTCTGGGGAAGACTAGTTTTGTAGACAAACAAATGGTTCTCAGCCTGTGTCAGGATGCATTCTCATGTTCTTGACCAGCAAATGAAGCAACTTATGTACAAAAGCTCATAATGCCCAGCCATTTCATGTTTTCCCCTGGGTCCTAGGCTGAGAAAACTGAGCATGAGATTTCTATAATGAATGGCAATAAACCAAAAGTAGGTTTGCAGCTGACAAATACACACCTGAACAGCATACTCAAGATTGCTACACCACAGACATTTTGATGCAATAATTCAGAGCAAGAGGTGTGAGTTATCAGAGACTATTAAATAGACAAAGTATTGCAAGAGTGCTAGTGTTTTAAGCATGTTTTATTAGAGTTTTAAAATCTTTAATTTTGTTTGTCTGTGTCCTTTATGAAGTTTATATCTCCGCTACCTGGCATTACATTTAATGACACACATGGCCCGGCCCAACAAGGTATCATTTATGTCAGATCCAGTCCTCATAACAAATGAGTTCGACACCCCTAATATAGAGAAAGCTGGAGGAACAATTCAAATGAGAACTGGAGAAGATCAGGTAGGAGATCAGTCCACTTAGAAGCAGTTTTTGAGGGCTAGTCAGATTCTAATCATACCTTTAATAAGTTCTACTGAAGTATTTCTAAAGTAATAACAACCTCCGGCCATACAAGTATTCTACATAGACATCATGTTAAGCCACTTAACTAGACCTTTCACACTTAGTTGTATTGTTTAAAAATTCTGATTTCAGAGATCTGCAGAGAAAGTACACAAGAGCATCCAAATTGAATAAATTGTTCCTCCCCCCAAAATATTCCCCAATCCAGTTATTGAGGCCTCAGAGTGGATATATTATAATAACCCCAAGATGGAATGGAAAAGTTAACTGGTGCTAAGAATTCTTTCGTTTCTAAGTGCCAGTTTAAAATTCAACCTCCAAATTCTTTCCTATCTCCAGTCTTCCATGCTTACTTTGTGTGGTGGCACAGGTAACTGAACTTTCTATGTTTTTATGTAAAACAGAGTAGCATTAGCTCTCTAGACAATGCTTTTTTAAAATTTGCTGGGAACAGCTCAAGGCAGTGGAGTCCCTAACCAATCACCTTCCTCCTCTCTGAAGGTTTGGTGTGGAAGAAGAGGATGAACTGCAGGGACACAATACAGTTTTAGAGTTTCATGGAAGAACCTAAGTAGATGTAGTTTAAATTAGTGACCATTACTGCCCTGAAGACAGATAGAAGAGGAGGGAAGGCATAGATGACCTCCCACTACTGACTCACCAGTTTGGTCTCCGCTAAGAAGAAGTATACTTAGAAATCTGGGGAACACACCACCTTCTTTGATAAGAACAATGGCTGAAGAGAGGATCCTTCTCAGGCTTACAGAATGCAGTTAAATCTTTTTAGGAACAACCGTGGTATTGAACAGCATCGCCTTTTAAGAAACTTCTCCCTGCCCCGAATCAATTTTCATGCTGCCGAAATACATATGCTTCTGTTATCTAGCCTGGAATCAGTAGTGTTGAAGAGGACATTATATATAACTACTATTGGGAAAGAAGTCTGGCATTCATATGAACAAAGTTATTCCTCAAACAACTGAGAAATGTAAAGCTCTGAGCTTAATTTCAGATGAAAACAGGTACATTAAAACTTCCTGTATAAGCATATGGGCTTTGCTTCAGTTAAGAAGTGTTTTTGCCCAGACATTTCTATAGACATTTCTAAAGCAGACTACAGACCAGCTAACCCAATTTAGAACTGTATTCCTTCCAGGGGCTACCTGATTAATGCTTGGTCTCCCTTGCTTTTTCTTTGAAGTAGTGTCCAGACCCCAGAGGGATGAAAACCGGCTTCTTCGTTTGCTTGCTGATCGGGACATAGCCTGTGTTCTTCTCCTCACACCAGTTTCACCCGTGCGAGCCGCCACCTATCAAGTGTCATAAAATGTCTGAATCCAAAGCTTCACACACACACAAAATCTAGCACAACTCCTCTACCTGTGGTATTTTTAAGGAGCATTTTAATGGGCTTAGAAGTTACGCACTTCTAAGCCCATTCACTTTAATGAACTTAGAAGGGTATAGCTCTGCTTAGGATGGCAGTTCGGTTGTAGGATTTCATGCTTCCTCCCCCATTACACAAGAATGTCTTCATCCCTAAGAGAGTGTAAAGTAATTTCATTCTGCCAATCTTTTACTTTTCTCCGAGCAATCAGTTTACTACCCCTTTTTGGGGAATATTTAGAGCCAAATTCTAACACCTACACGAAAAAAATACACGACTGAGTATTAGTGTCATGAAGGGGGGACCCTGTTTGGTATTAATTACATTAGCCAATTGATACCCTTACATTAGATGGGTTTTGCAAGCAATAACTTGTTTTCATTTCCATAAAGTATAGTATTATGTTTATCTTAGTTACCCTTTTCTGGTTGGCTACTGCTTATCTTAGCTATTTCAGTAAATAAAACCTACATATAAACAAAGAAACCTCGGACTGTTTTCCCACCAAGTATACTCTTGGTAGTGTAGTGGTTAAGTGTGCGGACTCTAATCTGGGAGAACCGGGTTTGATTCCCCACTCCTCCACTTGCACCTGCTGATGTGACCTTGGGTCAGTCACAAGCTCTGGCACAGCTGTCCTTGAAAAAGAGGTGTTCTCTCAGCCCCACCCACCTCATAGGGTGTCTGTTGCGGGGAGGGGAAGGGAAAGGAGTTTGTAAGCCACTCTGAGACTCCAAGTGAAGGGCAGGGTATAAATCCAATCTCCTCCTCCTCCTCCTCCTTTGTGCCCTGACCTGGATGGCCCAAGCTAGCCTGATCTCACCAGGTCTGGGAAGCTGCACAGGGTTAGCCTTGGTTGGTGTTTGGATGAGAGACAACCAAGGAAGTCCAGGCTTGCTACGCAGAGGCAGGCAATGGAAAACCATCTCTCTGTGTCTCTTGCCTTGAAAACCCCACGAGGTCACCATAAGTTGGCTGCAACCTGACAGCACTTTCCACCACTGTATTATTTACACAAGTTCCCTGTTATACTTCTTCATAAACTGAAAATCAATTAACCTCATTAATGGAGAAGCGTGGATGGTGTGTGTCCCCCCCCCCAGTTATGTAACACAAAGTTCAAGTGGAATTATCGTCTCAGATTGCCCAGATCCTTGTTTTTGTGAAAGCCAGAGCAGCAGGAAGTATGATAAGGATTATTAACTATAAAAGAAAAGAAACTGGCACACCTTCCACTTTTACAGGAGAATAACTTTGAAACTTTTTGAAGGCACACGAAAGAAGGTTTGTTAGCTAAAACAGAAAAACCTGGACCAAACTCTCTCCGCTTCCTATAAAAACGTAGATGAGTGACTTCTTGTTTTGGTATACTAACAAATACAATAAGCAATGACAGGGAGATTTCTGTTGTGATTGTTAATCATCAGCTGAAGAACTATTTGCACATTGTTTCAGGACAATAAAGGACCTCTCCCCCTTAAAAAAAAAAGAGTGTCTAGCAAAACATTAAATATATTTGATGTGCCATTTCAAGTTTCTGAACTTTGGCACTTCCATGGAGGTCCTTGCTAATTTTCTCCTAATTTAGGGTGATATGCTGGCCCAAATAATCTCTTTTGGATCTGCCATAGCTGTGGAACATGGAACAGCTGCAGCATTTCTCTCACCATGCAATGTCCATCTGAAACAAAAAAGTTTAAAATAATAATGGAACTGCATATTTAGACTATGCAAAAGCAAACTAGTGGATGGGTAAGTTAGCAAGTGTGTTGACTATAAAAAGGCATTAAGTATGGCCAACTACAACTCTTGCCAGTAATGGAAGCAGAAAATAAACCATAGTATTAACTAGAAATTACCATTGAGAGCAACCACTAAGACATATAAGGCCCTAAACAACCCAAGTATCTGAATGACCCAAGCAAACATCTATTGACCTAGTACGTCACTAGGGAATTCTGTGGACAAACTAGTCAGACAGGCAAAGCGTTTCTTTAAAAGTTTATATGAGCAGCAAGTTAACTTTCATCATAATGGTCAGCTATGAAACGTACTCCAGCATTTTTAGAACACCTTTCTGAGAGGTTAGTCTCTGATTTAACTTTGTACCTCAAGAGGCAAAAAAAAAAGTCTGAGGACAAACGGAAGAATTTGCCACAGAAGTAAGAATTCAGCGTTTTACTAATATGGGAGTACAGTCCGAGACTGTACTTGCCCCACTGAAACCAACGGAAGTTGCATAGCAACAGTACTCCCTTCCTCATCTTATAAAAGTATCAGGCAATATCTATTTCAGCAATAATGACTTCTGGCTTCAGTTTAATCTCACCAGTGCATGAAAGGAAGACACTGAAAAGATTCCAAGACGACCCATTGCATCTTTCGTTGGCCGACTTGCAAATGCAAGCAATGTTTTCGGATTTGGTAATTCCCCTCCTTGAAGACTAGCTAAGTAACACCGATACCGAAAGAGATCCATCTGGAACTGTTCCAGGTTTTGTTCCCAAACAAAGATCTAGAAAAAACGGTAGAGATTGGAGAGTTGGATGAGGCAAACAAAAATGACAAACATACACTTTAAAGATCACAGAAACAAGATTACATCAAGTTACACCTTCCATTGTCTGTATTGATTATATTCCTAGGGAAGAGAAAGGATTTATCTTTCTAAACTGAAACAAAATAAAAGAAAGAGCATCCCAAAACTGTTACTAACAAGATTAAAATCCTGGGTTTGATTTCCTCTCTGTCCCAGTAGTTTCCTCTCTGTTTATTTGAACCCTATGAGATGGTGTTTTATGCAAACACAACCGAGATATAGGGCACCACAGAGAGAGAGAAAATTCTAGAGCAGTTGAAGCAAATCCCAGTAATGTCTTTCACTGAAGAAGTTAAAATACACTGGAGAATATGATAACATCTCTCAGCGGTAGAGCACCGCTGTCTGTCCACCTGTCTGGTGCCTGTGGCTAGTAGGAAAAACTTTCAAAGGCCTCAGCATCTCTACAATGCAGTTATGCAGTTAGAATTCTATCTACGCTAGTAAAAGAGTTGTTCACTAAAAGAGGACACTCTATGTTAACTTTTTCTCATATATATTTGCAATTTGTAATAGCAGGACAGGCAGGACAAGCACTTATCATGAGAGTTCTCTGGCTGAAAGTTGTCCTCAAGACATAAAGAAGAAAGGATGATAAAGGCCCAATCTGTTTCTTGCTTATGGAACTCCGAAAAGTACCATTTACATCAATGGTGTTACCCAAATATATAATAATTGTGCCAGTGCAAGCAAGGTATATAAAAAACTCCAAAGGCTAGTTAGCTCCGTACTAGCTAGTTAACACCATTCCTACAACAGACACTCCTGGAAATCTAGACTGATTTTATACATGTGAGAAAATACCTGATCAAGAATGGTTTTTTTCTTCTTGGAATCTCGGACAGAGGATAAACTGAGGAAATGCATTTCTCCCATTTTCTTCATTTTCTCATCCATGTCAATCTTCTGCTCCAGCTTTTTAATCTCTGTTTTCAACAGTTTGACAGTATCCTCTTTGTGGTGCTGCCGGGCTACTGCTGTTGCACAAGCAGAATGAACTGCTGTGATCCAATTCTCAAGTTCTGTCTGGCTAGAGGTCTGAAACGAAAGAAAAGTCAGAATGCTCTCAGTAAACACCAAATGCTGCTTTTGAAAGGGTCTCTAGTTTTCTTAATCTCATTTAGAGAAGGTGGGTTCTAAACTTCTATTTTGCTTGTGTGTTTAATTTACGTTTAACTTGGCACCCAGTTTTCAGCTGCATAATCAAGCCTTTCACACCGATAATGTTCACCAGCAATTGTACCTCTCATGCCCATATTTGTGCAATGCTACAATAATATGCAGCTCCTCCATGAACAAGATTATTTAGACTACGACATCAAGGCAGCTGAAATACACGCCTGTATATTTTTATAGCATGATCACACCATTTGTGTGCAACGGTTCATAAAATACTTAATGAACACGGTGTCTACTACTGTTCTAACAGTA